GTGTGGCCCCTGGCCCGTTGCTGGGGCCACTGAGGTCAGTGTGCTGGGAGTGCAAGAACCAAGGAAATATGGTTTATGTAACTGATCCGGTGAGGAAAGGATGCCAAAAAAGTGCAGAATCTGTGAAAACGAGGCCAGCTATCTTGAGTTCACGTGTGTACTGTGTCCTGTGAATTTGCCGAGTAAAATTCTTTCAGTTTTTTTCTTATATAGAGGTTTTAGACCTTTCTTTCAAATAATTGATCATGTGTAGATTTTTAAAAATTATAGTGATGCTGCTTTGCCTTAGTCCTTGAAATTTATTTTTTAATGTAATGCAATAAAATTTATCTTCCTTATGCGTGGTTAGGACAAATGCGGGTGTTTTGGCCTCACTATTGTCAAGACCCAAATGATTTGATCACCCCCAAATTTCCTCAGGCCGCCTTTTTGTGGTCAGCCCTCTCCCGGTCTCTGACCCACCCCCTAGCCTTTGATCTGCCGACCAGCTCCGTGGGTCTGCCTTTTCCAGAGAGCCATATAATTGCAATTATAAAGTACACAGCTTTTGAACCCGACCTTCCCTGTCATTGAGCATAAAGCATTAGGATCGCATCATGAGTATTTGCCCACGTCATAGAGGTACCAGTTTGCCTGCTGACTAGGGAAGGACATGTGAGTTGCTTCTAGCTTTTAGTACTTAAGAACAAAGCTGTCATAAACTTTCATGTGCAGGCTATTGCGGGGTCATGTAATAGGTATATGTTTAACTTTATAAGAAATTGCCAAGCTGTTTTTGCAGAGTGGCTGTACTGAGAATTCCAACTGCTTCCTGTCTCGGCCACCGGCGCAAAAGCAAACGTAACTTTAAAGCTGGCAGCCGTTCTGTTCGGGTGTACAACAGCTGCTCAGCGTAGTTCTCGTCCGCAGTGCCCCGATGACCAATGGGATTGAGCCTCTTTTCATGCGTTTATTTTCCTCCTCTTCTGGGGAAGCTCCTGTTCAAAATTTTGTGATATTAAAACTGTTGCTTTCTTGTTGAGTTTTGTGGCCTCTTTATATATTCTGGATATGTCCTTGTCAGGTAGGTGACCGGCAGATATTCTCTCTCAGTTGGGGGCAACATTTTCGCTTTACTAAACAGCGGCTTTGCAGAGTGAATGTTCTAAATTTGGAAAAAAAATTCAGTTGGTCCACTTTCTTCCTGTGTGCTGCCTCAGAGCTCAGCCCGGCCCGAGAGTTTCCCCAGGATTCTCCTGACTCACTCCCACTTCTCTGCCCACACAGCTCCTCAGAATCCGCCTGTGTGGCTTCTCCTCATCCAGCGAGTCTCAGCTCTCCAGACCCTGACCGGGCGTCCTGGGCTTCCTTCTGATCCGCCCCGCAGCACTGCTCCCGCTTTAAATGCCAGCCTCAGATCAGGGCCTCTGGTGCTTCTGATCAAAGCTATAAACTGGAAGTTCCTGTGATCCCTTCCTTAGGTTCAGTAATTGGCCAGAATGCTTCACAAAATGCAAGAAAGCACTGACATGTACCAGTCTAACCTTTTTTTTTTTTTTTTTTTTTTGCGGTACTGGGGATTGAACTCGAGACTGCGCTTGCCAGGCAGGCACTTATGCCGTTGAGCTATCTCCCTGGCCCTTACCATCTATTCTAAAAGCTAGAATTCTGGAGGAGCCAGGTGGAAGAGATGCATAGGACTAGGTATGGGGAAAGGGGGTTGGAACTCCCGGACACACTCCCCTCCTGTACCCTAACATTTCCACCTGCTCGGCACCTCTGCAGATCTCTTTGCTGAGGAGTTTTTGTAAGCAGTCTCCAGGGTGTGCTCCTGAGGTCAATAGATGGCCTGAGAGTTCCAACCCATAATTATTTACTCTTTCAGGCGACCAGCCACATCCCAAGGTCATTAGGAGTCATAGCCTATGTCTCTCTGTTAGTATAAACTCAAGTCTGACCCAAACTGGCTCATAATGAAAACCAAAAGTTACTCTTGGCACTCAGGAAATTCCAAAGGCTTATAGGGACTGTACAGAGGACCTGGGCAAAGAGCAGATAAATCTCTTACCATCCGACAATTTCCTTCCAAATTTTATATTTTACACTTAAATGTGTGATCCATTTAGAGTTAATTTTTATATAAGATATGGAGGATGGGTTGGGGTTCCGTTTTCTGCCTGTAGATCTCCAGTTATTCCAGACCATTTGTTGAAAATGGAATTGTGTCTCCCTCCAATGAATTGCCTTTGCACCTTTGTCAAAAGTCAGATTAGCATTTTCTGGGGCTGCGGGGGGTGGGGTGGGGCATTTTCCAGGGTTCAGGGTGGCAGGGGCGGAAGGGTGTGGCCATAAAGGGAAGCCTCTGTGGTGAAGGAGTGGTTCTGCATCGTGCCTGTAGCGGCGCTCAGTGCGCCTACACACGTTAGAGACGGTGTAGGGCTGTGCACACACTTCCCCAGTGACAGGTTCCTGCCGGCTTGGACGCTGTGCTATAATTAAAGAAGTGCAGTCAGCGTGGCAGGGGAGGCTTAGTAAAAGTGCGTGGGACCTCTCTGTTCTGTCTTTGCAACTTCTTGTGAATTTATCATTGCCTCCAAATAAAAAGTTAAAAATCGGTTGACCGTATCTGCAAGTCTATTTTAGGGCCCTGCTTTGTTCCGCAGCCTCGGCCTGCGCCCCTTGCTGCGCTCACGTATGAGTCTTGAAACCAGCTGGTGTGAGTCATCCAACTTGTTCTTTTTCAAAATTGTATCTGTGGCATTTGCAGATGAATTTTATCATTGGCTTATCAATTTCCTCAAAAAATCTGTTGGGATTTTGATTGGGGTTGCTGTGAATCTATAGATCGATGCTAAAATATTGAAAATATTGAGTCTGCTGATTATCTTTCTTTAGTTTTTAGTTTTCAATTTTACCTTTCACTTTTGGCATTTATTTACTTTAAAATTTTTATTTATTTATTTGGTACAGGGTCTCACTATGCAGCTCAGACCCATAGTGATCCTCCTGTCTCAGCCTCCCCAGCACTGGGATTACAGGTGTGCGTCACCAATCCCAGTTTCAGTGGCCTGCACAGCATACCCCAGATTCCGAGCATGTAGCACTGGGGATTGAACCCGGGTCCTTGCGCTTGCCAGGCAGGCACTTACACCACTAAGCTATCTCCCCAGCCTCACTTTTGGCTTTTCATGTAAAATTCCTTTTGGCCTTCAGCAGCTTAAGATGAGAAAGCAGGGTCCTAGTGAGTCTGGGGAGCCCTTCCCTCCCTGTTTAGACGAGGTGAGTCAGGCAAATGCAGCCGGGTGGGACCCACTCGCGAGGGGAAAGTTGCTTCTGTCCAACACGAAGGTGTCCACGCGTGTATCCCTTAGATGCAGGGGCGGCTATAGCAACAGAGAGGACATTTTTGGCTCGATAACTTCTTGCTACCTGTCCCTGTGGTTTCTAATTTTAAAGGCCTAAAAACCTTCTTGAAGCTCCCATCAGATGTCTCAAAGCCTTTAGGAGGAAAAGAAATAGGTAGATTCCAGTTTTTTTTTTCTTTCTTGCATTACTTTTAAAATACTCAAAGATAAATAAGCAAAACATTCAAACTGTTTTCAGAAGTGAAGGAAGAAGTCACGGGACCCAACCAGATTAATAAGCGAATAGGTAGTAATTACATTCCACTAACCCAGGTCCTTGCAGGCATGGCCTAGAAAGCTCATGAATCTATCTCCCAGTACCTGGTCTTTATTCAAGTAGTTTAATACTTAAATAAATTTTTCTCTGTAATTTTGTTTCACCTATAGTCTTTGGCCCTAATTTATCTTTTTCATCCCAGGTTAGATTTATCATTTGACTAGTACTATATACCAGTGATGGCAAACCTTTTAGAGCTTTCAGTGACGCAGCCAGCCTGCTGAGGCATGCGTACCATAGGTTTGCCACCACCGCTATATACTAGTGGTAGAACATCCACATTCTTTTATGTCGGACAAAGAATCAATTTTTACAATAATCAATGAGGTCTAAAAAGTAAGGTTTCTAGTTAAAGGCTTGAGGAAGGGTGTTTCAGAGCTAGGAGTGAGGCATCCTGTTCCTGGTGGTTAGGAGTCAGTGGAGGATGTGGTGTCCAGGGGTCCCTGGGTCAGACAGCATGTATCCTGCTAGGCCAGGCCTGCCACGGGGGAGCAGCAGAGCCAGGTGGGGACATATCACCTTCCTCTGGAGGTGTGGGTGTTTGATCGGCAGAACTGTGAGTTCATGAAAACCCCTTTGCTATTATCTCATCTCCTCCTCCATACACAATTACTTAGGAATACTTCCACGCTGTTCCTGAGGGGTATAATGGCTCTTTTCAACACATGCTCTGTAGGTTCCTGTATTCTAACTTTATTTTGATATTCACCGAACCACATTTTATTGGGATTCTTAGTCCAGACTTCTAGCCCTCAGTACAGCCATTGATTTTGATGATCGACAATTTTTTATACCTTTGTAAAAAAATTATTTATTTGGTACAGGGTCTCACTACACAGCTCAGACTCATAGTGATTCTCCTGTCTCAGCCTCCCCAGTGCTGGGATTACAGGCGTGTACCACCACACCTGGTTTCGGTGGCTGGCATGGTTCACCCTGGGCTCCAGGGCAGCATGGTGTGCGGTACTAGGGATCACACTCGGATCCTTGCACTTGCCAGGTGCTTAGACCGCCAAGCTATCTTCCCAGCTACTGAAAAGTATACCTTAGTTTGGGAACTTTGAACAAACAGTTACCTAAACAGGACCTGTCTTCGAAGTGGCCTAGAACTGAACATCCTGATCGAAGTCACCATTTTGTCACAAGCTGTGTGACATTTGGGTATTCCACATCTGAAAGGGAAAAATGGAAAGAGACACTGAAGCAGTTCCCTGTTATACATTGACCATCTTTGATTCCAAATGTCTAATGAGGCGAAGCAGAAGTATTATTTAATAGTAGAACTAGATAAGCTGTTTAATAATCAGTGAGGACTCTATTTTATTTTTTCCCCCTTACAGATCATCATGTTAAACTCCGTCTCCGACCTGCACAGCTACATCGACAAAAGCCAGCTGACTCAGGAGCTAGGGGGAACTTTGGAGTATCGCCACAGCCAGTGGCTCAGTCATCGCACTGTGAGTAGCAACCTGTGCATTTATTTCCCTGTCGCTCCTTTGTGTCCAGCAGCCAGGGAAAGCTAAAGGTCAACAGCTGAGGGTCACTGCCCAGGATGGCCTGCTGCTAGGAGAGTTGGAATTTCTCAGCTGTGCAGAGGAGAAGAAGTATAGTACAAGGGGAAAGACTGAGTGTTCCCCTGTCGACTGCCTAAGCTCCCTGTGACTTCTGATGGGGGCGTTTTGAAAAGCTTGACTTAGGGTACACTTGGGGAGTTCTCAAAAATACCATGACAACCAAAATGTACCTCAGGGAAATTACACGATCTGGGATGGGTCTCGGACATTAGCCATTCATAAAATTCCCCAGGTGATTCCTGTGAGTGGCGGACAGGAAGCCCGAATTAGCTGCGTTGAAATACTGTCCTCCTACCTCACTGTCCAGCCAAGAGTGAATTACGAAGCCCTCCATGCTTGGATACACCCGTGCTAACGTGAGCCTGACACCCTAGTGCTCTGCTGAGAGTATCGTTGCCCCCTAGAAGACATTTACTGACATTGGTAGATGGTTTTGGTGGTTCTGACTTGAAAAGAGGTATTTTTAGGCTTCTAGTGGGTAGGAGCCTGGGACCCTGCTCAACATTTTGCACAAATGTTGCTCCAGCAATGAAAAATTATCCAGCCCCAATAATCTGGATGAGAGTAATGCCAGTGGGGCAAAAGCTTGAGCTAAAAAAAGCTGTCTGAATGTAGGCTGTGGGCAGTGGTCCAGAGCTTGACAGACAAGGTAAGATTAAAAACTACAGTGAGGAATCAGGGAGATGGCTCAGTGGAATAAGTGCTTCCCTGGCAAGCTCAAGGGTCTGAGTTCAATCCCCTGTTCCGCCAAAAAAAAACTACAAGGAATGCTTGAAACATTTCAGATGTTATTACAGTGAAAGATCCACAGCCACTGTCTCCCCCAAGCCTTCCCCCTCACCCCGTCACTTGCCACTTTCTTAAGCAGCCGTGGAAGTTCTCTTTTGGGAATGTCTCTAGTTGCGCTGTCCCAGCTGCTTCAATGTCCTGAATCAATTCAAAATGTTTCCTGTCACGGTCATTTTGACTTTGGGGAAGACCCAGAAGTCACACAGTGCCAGGTACACTAAAAAAAGGTGGCGAAGATAACACCATGGTGTCTTCGCTGGGCAGAAAGTGGCATCAGTGTTTGATCAGCCAGAGGTGATCAAACAACATGGTAAATTTTTAAACAAAAATGTACTTCAGCCAAAAACACATTGCCATGAAATCCCTTCAAAATACCCCCCCTTGCTTCAAACACCCTTATCCCACTGTTCTTGGTAATGTGGCTTTTACTGTAAGTTTTTCTGAAAAATGGAACTTTTTAAAAATCATTCTTTGAATGGTTTTTATTTTTTGCCGCTTATTTATATCAGTGGTTGTTATGCTAATCTCAGAGTTTCAGTAATACTGAGGGGAAAGTGAAAATCAATTTAACTGCTATGGGTGGACTATTGGTGCCCCCCGCCGTCCGAAGTCAAATATGCTAGGCTCCAGTGTGATCGTGTGCAGGAATAGGGCTTCGGGGTGACTCAGGTGCGAAAATTCTACCCACATGAGTGGCATTAGTGCCTTTGTGAGAAACTGAGGAGAATGGCTTTAGCTTCTGCCTGTGAGGACCCAGAGGGCCCACCTTGTGCAGAGCCGTGCCCTCCCAGGCTCCAAGCCTGCTGCACCCAGCCTAGGCACTTCCAGCCTTCAAAACTTCTGACTCCTAGGTAATCGCATTAGAGTGGGGTGGGGGATGGCCAATGCTTTTTTTTTTTTTTTTTTTTTTTTTTTTTTTGCTCTAAATGAGCCCATCCATTTTTTTTTTTTTTTTTTTTTTTTTTTAATTGGGGGCCGGATCTCACTATGTAGCTCAGGCTGGCCTTGAACTCGTGGAGACCCTCTGACCTGAGGTCTCCCAAGTGCTGGGATTAGAGGTGTGCCCCACTACACCTAGGTTTGGGAATGGTCAGTTCTTTAAGTAAATCTAATCATGAGAGATGTGGAAGGAAGCTCCTGTAGAACGCCATCAGTGATGTAAGTGAGTGTGCTGAGTGCCTTCCCAGACTGAATCGCACTGGGTCACGTGCAGCCTGAAGTGCTCCCAGGGCTTGTTTGTTCACTTTCTAGACATTTGGAGCATTAAATAATCAGAAAGCACTCACTGTCCGCCCCGCCACCCTTGTTGGCCTAACTGGCTTTCCCCTTTGCTCCAATCTATTTATTTTTGATGTTGTTCATCTTCTGTGAGCCGAGACAACTCGTCATAAATACATTTGAAAGATATCAAAGATCAAAATATTTCTTTAAGAATTTAGAGTTAGAAAAGACTAAGGCCACCATGACTGGTTAGTTAGAGATGGTGAGAACAGACGTATGCACACTTCCTGCACTGCTAGACCTGGCATGGAGTCTATTTCGTGGCTTTTGTGGTTGTGGAAGTGTTAAAATAAATGCCAAAAAGAAACTAGTACTCAAAGACCAGAGTATTCTTTACATGCCTCCTATGTGGTTTATACACACATGTAACTGGGAGTAATTAGAATAGAGACATACGAATATTGTTTTATATCACAATTAAAATATATCGATCCACTTTCTGTGTGTGTGTGTGTGTGTGTGTGTGTGTGTGTGTGTGTGTGTGTGTGGCAGTGTGCTTCCTGGGTGTCTTGTCTTTGAATGAAAGACTCATAGCAAGTTAGACCTCAAAAGGTGCTAAAGATTGTTTACTGGAATCACTTTATTTTACAGAGAAGGCAACTGACCTTCACAGTAGAAGGGAGACTTACCCAAGGTCAAGTGGTCAGGTTAATTCTCCTATCAGGATCAGGTCCTCTGTGCTGTCTCCAAAAAGATTATTCATGGAATAACTTGGAAGCAAATTAAATTGTTAATAGGTAACTCCACAGGACACTCTGGCTCTCTTCTGATTTCAGGATGGCCCTTGCAAGCCTCCACCCTGACACCTGTAAGGTTCCCCACTGGCTCCATAATCCCTTTGTGTTTGCTGTTCTTTTTCTGTTCCTCAAAAAAACCCCTCAGCAGACATAGTCATGGCCTGCCTAGCATGTATGGGGCCCAGCTCAGTCTCCAGCATGGAAAGGAAGAGTATCTCCCACACCCTGCAGAGCAGAAAGTATTGCCCCTGCCTTGCAAATGAGGACTCCGGGACCCAGTAGCCTTACCAGGCTTAGCCAAGATCACAGTTAGCAGGGATCAGAGCTGGACTCTAACTCCCGCCCCCAACTCCAGGGCCAAGGTCTTCTGCGGGTCTAGTTTTCACTCTGATCTTGCTAAATACAGTTTTGACTGCCAGGTGACCTGGCTCCAATCCTGCCTCTACCATTTCTTTTTTTATATGACTTCAGGGAATTCACTTAACTTTGTTCCTCAGAGAAAAATGCATGCTAGTCATAAAAGTTCTTATTATTCCCTTGGTAAGAGAGGCTTTCTCTTTTATGTTATTCATCATGGGTCATTAGTGATATAATTATAAGCGAGCCCTACACAGATGTTAGATTATGTGAACCTAATAACTTTGCTGTACTAGAAAAGTTTTCACAGAAGTATTTGTCTGGCTTTCCAGACCAGAAGTCCTGCCATCTTAAGGTTGTGGCTGTCCCAGCACCCGTGCTTACAGGGAGATTCTCTGCTGGCAATGCCTCAAGTCCAGGAGTGCTGCAGCAGAGGAAACTCTGGTAGGAGGAGGTGGGCAGTGTTCTCGAAGCTTCCTCGTGGCAGCCCCTGCTATGACCCTGATGTAGTTATGGCCCCTGTGCCAGAGCAGTGAATCCTTTCTGACGTGGGTTTGGATTTTCAGAATTATTCTCTGATAATGTAGAAAAAAAGGTCATTTCTTCCCCAGTGAAAGTTCAGTAGATCACTTTGCTTTTTCCACGCACCCATGAGACGGCTGTTTACTGGTCCCCTACAGTGTGTGAAAGGCACAGCGCCATGCCCTGGGGTACAGAGATGAAGGTGGCATGGTGTTTGCCCTTTAGGGGTAGCAGAAGCAGGTGGCATGACTCGTGCAACCCTAGCTACAGCTAACTCCTCCCTGAGTGAGAGACTTTCCCTAGCATAGGCCGCGGGTTTCCTGAAGCCTTCTGCTAACATGATGCTCCCTCCTGGAATATTACAGAGAAGCCACCAGCCACTTAGCACAGACCTGTTTACTAGAAGAATAGAGGCCTAAGGGGAAGGAACTCAGAACAGGCGAATTTGATAAGCCTGTGACAAGATGAGGCCCCCAAACCACATCTAATAGAAATGGCTCCCTTAAAGGTCAGCTGGAGGGACCATCTTTTACCCGCACTGTCATATCCTCTCAAGCATTTGACAGGCTTCTCCCAGGCAGCAGACACAGGCCCAGGTGTGGGTGAGGGGAAGGAGAGAGGAGAGGGAAGTGTGGGGGATAAAAGAGAAGGTGGGGTTGTTAGAAAGAAGGTGGGGTGATTTTGCTCTTTGCAGTTTTGCACCTCATAAATTCTGAGTCAGACATAATGTTCGGTGTTCTTGGGGGTAATGAGCAGAGCCCCAGCCTTGAAACAGCTGGCCTTGCTTGGGTCTGATTGTCCTACCTTTTTGTACTGCCTGAGTAATTTGGTTTTGGGGCAACTCACAACCTGCAGAGCTCTAGTTCCTCCTCTATAAAAGGAGCTAAAATACCTCCCACAGTGCATTGTTGAGATAGTACACAAGTGCGTAATAGGAGGGACCATGTGTGGCCTGTGTAGTAGGTGGGATGCTGTGTGACCCATTGTTGGCTCTCTGTGTCCTTCCAATGAGAGGGCAGGTTAGGGACAGCTAGTTGTTCCACATTGTTCCAATCATCTGACCTTCCAGGCCATAGAAAATTTTGCCCTGACGTTGAAGACCACTGCGCAGATGCTGCAGACGTTCGGGACCTGCCTGGCCACGGCAGAGCTGCCCAAAGGCATGCTGCCCACCGAAGATCTTCTTATGTCACACACCCAGCAGCAGGACAAGGTGCAGGTGAGTGCTTAGAGGCCTCTCAAACTCCAGGCGGAAATTTCTTTCTCCTTCCCTTGCCTTCAGTCATGGGGCAGCCACTGGCATCTAAGCCCTTCCATGTAGGCAGCGGGTAAAGGCAAGAATCACTGGAGGCTGCTGAAGGGGTGACCTGGGGAAGGAGCCGGGCAAGGACTCTGCCGAGGACAGAGCAAGAGAACACGTGCTGAAAATCGCAGGAGTGACAAGAGGGTGGACTCAAAGTGTGAGCTTTCCAGGGCTTGTCGTGAAGTTTGGGGACAGACTAATAAACTAAGTGCTTCGGTTTCCCAGGGATTTGTCTTTGTACATCAGAGTTAACTGGAGAAAAAGGACCACTGCTCAGAGGCTGCTCTGAGCTGGCCTTGAGGAGTGCCGCCCATGTGGTGACTCGAGAGCACATCGTAATTTGCACAGAAAGGAGCCTCAGCGGGGCTTTCGGAGCATGCAGTAGGGGAGTCATCCTGGGCTCCTGACTGCGTGGCTGCCATCCCTTTCTCCCTCGAGAAGCGCGTACCAAACTGAATTCCGTATTTTCCAGATGGCTCATTTTCAATATAGCAGTGTGCTGAGGGCGGTGGCTTTATACCCGTCCTTGCTGCATCAAACTTGGCCAAAATCTTCATCTGTTACCCCAAATTCGCAAAATGCTTTACCAAAGGACTAATTTGCTCATTCATTCAACATGTATTGAGTATTCACCACTATGTGCCAGGAACCCTCCCCCGCGACCACCACCAAATGCAGCTTGAGAAAGCGAGTCTAGTTAGGGGCATCTCAGAGTCCAGCCGTTGCAGAAAATGAGAATCTTCCACGTGCGAGGGAACCATGCTGAACTCCAGCCGGGGGGTTGTGGCCCAGGAGGCGTTCCAGGTGTACTCCCAAGACTGTTCTGAGAAGTCCAAGGATCAAGGCTGACACTGAACTCCGGACATCTTGGAGCTAGCTATTCCCGGGAAAAGCCTCTGGGCAAAGCCCATGGAAAGCTTGGCCATTTTCTGTTTCTGATATGCAGATCAGGCTCACTTCCCCTTACCCCATGAGGCCTGGCTGCAGAAAGCTGGGTTTGAAGTGCCTCCCTGAGGGCTGCTGGGAAAGGCCTTGGAGTGCACGGGCCGGGACCTCCCTGAGTTTGCAGAGCAGCAGGAGAGAGGGACCCCTCCGGGCTCAGTATCAGAAGGGACCTGTGAAGCCCAGCTCTGTTCCGAAGGTTCATGAGCACGGTGCGCACACGCTGCCTCACTGCCTGGATCTGCTGCAGGCCAGAAGCACGGCGATGACAATGGATCAGTCAGAAAGGTCCCTGGCGAGCAGCCGCAAAGCATGCTTGCAGATGTGGGGTCGCCGGTTAGAGTCCAGCTCTTGCAGCTTTGGTGCACTAGGAATATAGACAGTGCTCTGAGGGAAGAAGTTTTTAAAATGTGGGTTTTAGACATTTGTGGGAAGAGAAAACCTAGCCAGACAGGTCCTACTGACTGGGCAGTGGCCTGGCCCCGAAAGGCAGGTGAGCAGAGCTCTGTAATTTCAGCAGAGCCAGAATTTTACAGAGGCCACAAGGTGGAAAGAACCAGGCTCTGTAACGGATGAGGACATCTGTCTGTGCGTGGGGTCAGCTACCCTGGACAAAGGGTGCTGCGACATCCCGAGGTTGTGTAGGGGGCCACAGAGAGTGTGATGAAGAGGATGATTTGACATTTATAAGAAGTAATTCTACCCTCTAATGATCAGGTCTCAGTTTGGTTAAATATTCATCTAACCTATAAGACAAGTGAAAAGAAGTTAGGAAGCTCAGGCTGGAGAGATGGCTCAGTGGAATAAGCGCTTCCCTGGCAAGCGCCAGGGCCTGAGTTCAATCCCCGGTTCCACCAAAATAAAGAAAAAAGAACTTAGAAAGCGCCATTTAATCAGCCTCTTAGTAAGCAGACAGATGTAGTTTTACACAAACTGATCCATTCAGCTCGTGTTCATAGTTCATGCTGCCTTGAAACCATGGCGAAAACCCATCCCTACTTGTTAATAAAATTCTTTTTTTTCAGAACTGAGGATTGAACTCAGCCCTTGTGCTTGCCTTGGAAGTGCTTATTCCACAGAGCTATCTCCCTGGCCCTTTGATTAAGAATATTAAGTGAATTTGGATTAGAAACATTATTCTGTCTTTATTTTACCAAATAATATTGTATTAAAGACAACACAGAGAATTCTTAGGGACTTTTGTGATTACTAATTATTGGCTTAGGGGCAGCCTGATAGCTTAGTGGACTAAAGCGCCTGCTTAGGCAGAGTGCAGTGGCCGGGGTTCAGTCCACAGCGTGCCATGCCAGCCCCACCCCCGGGATGTGCTGAGACAGCATTGGGACTGGGCATGGTGGCGCGCGCCTGTGATCCCAGCTCTTGGGAGACTGAACACGGAAGAATCACTATGCGTCTGATCTACATAGTGAGACCCTATAGACTCTGTAGACCCTGTAGAGTACACCCTGTCCTACATACTAATTATTGGCCTAATGCAAATTTGATTTCTTTGTTCTTTGTCTTGTAACTTAAAGGCAAGAATATGTTTAAAAAGGAAAAATGTCAAAATTATTAGACTAACTCAAGTTAGACTAACTCAATATTTTTCCTCTTACTTAAAAATGCCTTGAAGAGAAAAATGGTCTAAATTAGAAAAGGAAATAATTGTTCCTTAAGCTATAGTCCATGGTTATTTAATTGTAATTTATCTTGCTCATTAGTGTTTTGCCTAAATTTTAATCAAAGATTCTATAAGCAGCTGAATAGTTTATTTTCCACTTGGAAAGCACCTTTTCCAAGTGAAAAACCTATACAATGTAAGATTCATTCCTTGCAACAGTGAACTTTTCAGTGTACTTAAGTAGCTATAAAAGTCACAGCCCGTGAATTACTGTTTTCTCCCAGCCGAGAGCTGTAAAACAGCTGGGAGATTTGGCTTGATTGTTTGGTTACTCCCTCCTGGGGATGCTCGGAGCTGGAGCTCTTATCGCAGATCTGTGTAGCCTCTCAGCGGCCTCTCCAGTCAGTCAGAATAGGAGCCGCTGCATTGAAGCGGCTTTGCAGCCCATTCGCTAATTCTCTGTGGAGCAGCCAGTCCTTTGTTCAGTGCCACCTCCAGAAGAATCCTTTTCCTTATGGCCACCAGTGGTACTGTCTGCGCAGAAAAAGAACAAGAAACCAAACGCAAAATATCCACAGCAGAACAATCTTATCAAAGAAATTATACTTGGAAGAGGGCTGCTTTCTAGAAACAGATTCCCTCCGCGCAGGCTGGGCCCCTGTGGGCTCCGACTTCACTGCGACACTGCGACAGTCAGCGTCCCCAGCCACAATGCAGGCTGCGCTACCCTGCAGCCAAGCCAGGTGCTGGCGCTGGGCTTCCTTTGAAGATCTGAAGCCTTGTTTTCTCTCTGATTTCATTATCCCACTGAGGGATACATCCTGTGTGGATGAGTAGCTTTAGACTGGGTTCCTGGTGAGTGAGCACACACGCACGCTCGTGTGCACACACACACATGGACTTGGCACACGTGTGCACGCACCCCCCCCAGTTGATCCTTCTCCAAGGTGACGCCTACGTTTTCCGAGGACAGGAACTGTGCCTGACAGTGGCTCTTTCACTCTGCGGGCAGCACAGTGGACCTGGCTGCACAAAGGCTGAGCAAGGGAGGGAGCTCCTGGAAAGGGAGCGTGAATTTATGTTCCAGTCGGGGAAGCCAGCCCCTCTTCCCTCTGGCCTGAGTGCTGGAAAAAAAGAAAAGAAAAGAGAGGGGAGGGGAGGGGAGGAGAGAAGAGAAGATCTCCCAAATGATGGCTATTTCTTTCCATGAAACCAAAACTCCATTTTGGGGCTGGGTGACTTACCCTTGCCCTTTTGAGGGACCAGCATTCCTCCACCTTTCCATTTGTTTTCCAGCAGAATTCGTAACCCTCCTGAGGCTGTGATCCAGGCCACAATTTTTACTTTTACTTTTTTTAATAGCATACAGGAGATGCAGCGTGTGCCTTCACATCTGAGACCCCCTGCCCTGTCTCATGCATGTTCCTGGTTTCCTGCAGCTTGCTGGCTGCAACCTTCCTCCCAGCTACCCCTTCCGACATGACCTTCGGCCCTGAACATTGCCCTCTCCCTTTAGCCTTTCTGCCTTCCTTGTCACCTCTGCATCGCAAAATGTCAAAGCATGCACGCAAATCTAACCGGGTGGTGCACAGTCTCACGGGAAGCTCCAAGAGGGAAAATCCCAGACCCTTTCTAGTAGGGAGGAGGAGGAGAGGGCTAAGAACACCGTCTCATGAGTACTTCCCCCCATTATATTTGATTTGTCTTTAGCCATCTGCAACCTGATGCCTTTTAGACTATTATTAATTTATCCACTACACAAATATTTAATGAGCCTGGATACGATAAGGAGAAACTCGGGCAGACATTTGAGAGTGGAAAAGTAGGGCGTGTCCCCCTCCCAGGCAGGCAGGCACACAGTCAGGTGACAGGCTGATGCATTGCCGGGAGTGGGCAGAATCTGGAAGAATCCAGAGGCCGCTGATGGGCTGCCTGGGAGATGAGAAGACTGTTGTCGACCAGGCCTAGGGACAAGTCTGAAGATGGCAATGGACCACATAGCCCTTCCAAGGGAAACTGGGTCCAGGGCTGTTGAGGGGAAGCACAGACCTCCTGTCTGAGGAATGAGCTGTGGCTCACTGCTTGGGATCACAAGGCGACCCCTGGGCTTGAGTCTTAGAACCAAGGGTTTACTCTGTCGAGTGTATCTGTGACTTAGGAACCAAACCAGAGTCCCCAAGGGTGAAATTCTAGGCCAGGCTGTGCTCCTTTGGGCTTGCAGTCTGGACGTTGTGGTTCAGGCTCGGAGCCAGGAGAGGTGAGCAGCCCCATCCCAGCAGGGGACTGGACCCCATCCCAGCAGGGGACTGGAGCTGTCAGGAGCAAATGGCCCCCAGCCAGCGCAGGCCTGAGTCCCTGCATTAAATAGCACCATGGTGTCACCTTGGAAATGCAGGCTTTAGTTGCTGTCCGCATGTGGAGAGCAGGTGGAGAGGGTGGGCGCTGAAGAGGAGCCCACCTGGAGCATTTTGATGGCCCACTAGCAAGTGTCATGGTGTTACTGTTCGGGCATCGCTAGCACTTTGCGTGCCATATCTGCCACTTTCCTGTTTCTGGTCATGACCTTTGATTTCACTAAACAGTTTTGCTTTTAATTTATAACAACAGCTTATAATACACAATAAATAATGTTGTTTAAAGACTTGCCTTTTCTGGTGCCTAAATTTTGTATACTTGGAATTTTGTACTGTGTATAGATCAAAGGTAAATTACTTTTTGAAAGCTGTGTCTTGACTTTAATATTTAATTTCCTAAATGAAAAATCTACTCATCTACCATTTTCCTCACTGTACTACATTGAGAATTAGTTTTTTGTTAATTCCTTCAACAACAGTTGTGGTTTTTTGTTTTTTGTTTTTTTTTGTTTTAGGATGAGCTGAAATTACTTGGAGAGCAAGGGGCCACATTACTGTCATGTGTCCAAGACCCAGCAACAAAAAGTTTCACCAGCAAACTCAATCCCAGTGAACTTGAGAATATAGCTACCATGGAAAGGTGAGTGAAAGGATTCACTTTTTGAAGACAGACTATGTAGATGTGGTGTTTTGAGCCAGCCAAGGACAGATTGGAACAGCTCCTATTGGGCTCAGTGGTGCCACAAGGAAGAGAAGTTGAGACACAAAGGGAAAAAGACCAGGCCCACCTGACCTCCATCCACAGAGATCTTTGCAGGAGAAAAATTTCACTCCTCCTTCTTATGATACACCCTCACTCTGGGATTTCAAAAGAGGTGGTTGTACTTGTTGAAGTTATTTCCGAATAACCGTGGCTTGGTGCTGTGCCCTACACTTGTGTGGTCTCAAGTAGGAAAAAAAAAGGAAGGCACATTTTAAAGCATGGAGGCTGTCTCTGAGGTGATCCCTGCCTGCTCTTTGGGTGTCCTGGCTGAAAAAACAAGGACCATAGTTGATGCTCTTTCATGATGCAGCTGTTGCTGCAGTTGCTAAGCTGATGGAAACCACAGCTGATATATATACCTTAGAAATAAATATTAACATTAGGTTGTCTTTTCATTCTTTCTTGAAAGGTTATTGGTTCAATTGGGTGAAACAGAAAAAGCCTTCAATGAGTTTTGGTTTGAGCATCACCTCAAGCTTAACCAATGCCTACAGCTACAGCGCTTTGAGCACAATTTTTGTAAGGTATTGTTTTTTTTCTAAATGGAACTTCCCTTTAAAAAAAAAAAAAAAAAAACGGACCTCTGACTTTCTCTTTCTTCTCAGCTGCCATGGGGTTGGGGTTTTCTTTTCTCATGCACTTGCCTCCCCGTTTATATCTTGGCTTCATTCTAGTCCCTCCTTCCCAACATTTGCAGTGGGTGTGGAAGCTCTGTTCGAGCATCCCATGTTCTTGTTGACATGCGTGAGATTTCGTTACCTCCTGTAGTGACTGAAGAGCTGTTGAATGCAGTTCTAATACTGTACCTGCACTGCCCAGAGACACTTTTTTTTTTTAAATGTATTTAATACAGGGTCTACAGGGTTTCACTACACAGATCAGACTCCTAGTGATCCTCCTGTTTTCAGCTTCCCAAGCGCTGTGATTACAGGCAAGCGCCACCACACCCAGTCTCTCACTGTCTCAGTGCACCCCAGG